CAAAAGCGCAGAGCTCCTCGCCCAGACGCTCGTCAGGAACGCCAATAACCTAAACGAAAGAAAGGAGGACCCCATGAGTAGCTGAAGGAGCAAGCGCTGACTGTGGAAACTTACATGAGTCTCGATCACCTGCGGATGGCTGTTTAAAAAGTCTTCGACCTCTTTGGGGAAAATATTCTCGCCGCCTCGTATAACCATTTCCTTGAGGCGGCCCACGATGCGTCCGTAGCCATCGCTCTCGAGCACAAACTGATCGCCCGTGTGGAGCCAATTGTCCTCGGCGAGAATCTCCTTGGTTTTCTCCACATCGCCATGGTAGCCCAGCATGGTCATATAGCCGCGCACGCACAGCTCGCCCGGCTGGCCGAGGGGCACAATGCAGCCCTGTGCATCGATAATCTTGGCCTCGATGTGATCCGTGAGGTGACCCACGTAGTGAAGGACTCGATCATCCTGCTCCCCGGGCAGAGACTGGAAGATGACAGCCGTTGACTCGGTCAGGCCGTAGACGCTGTGGACGGCCTGCACGCGCAGCACCTGCTTCATGTCCAGGACGAGCTGCGGCGAGACTGCGGCGCCACCAGTGATGGCCTTCCTAATATTGCCCAGCGGCAGCTGCAGCTTGCGCTGCTCAGCCACCAGATCCACATACATTGTGGGTGTGCCGTGTATCACAGTGCACTTTTCGTTGATTATTGCCTGCAGCGAGTCCTTCGGACTGAAGCCAGCTGCTGGCAGGACCAGGGTGGCGCCCTTGGCCATGGCCGCCATGATGGTGATGCCCACGCCGAAGGCATGGAAGAGCGGCACCTGGACACAAATGCGTTCGCCCTCGAGCTCGTTGCGGTTGCCCACATGGATGCCATTGTTGACGAAACTGTGATGGGAGAGCACCGCCGCCTTGGGATGGCCGGTGGTGCCCGACGTGAACTGCACATTGCACGGACTTTCAGGCTGTATTTCGCGCTGCAGCTTTCCAATCTCCGCCTGCTCGCTGGCATTGCTCAGATCGAGCAGCTCATCAAAGCGCATCGCGCCCTTCAGGCTCTGTTGGCTGTTGATGATAACGGTGCGCAGATGAGGAAACTTTTCGCTCTTGAGCTTGCCCGGCTCTGATTGAGCCAGTTCCGGGCAAATGTCACGCAGTATCTCATAGTAGTTCTGCGTCTTGAATGTATCCGGTGCCAGAATTGCTTTGATGTCCACCTTGTTCAGGCAGTACTCCATCTCGGGTCCTTGGTAGGCCGGATTGATGCCCACCGAGGTGAGACCCGCACGCGCCGCACCCATCATGCCCAGATACCACTGGATATAGTTGGGCGCCCAGATGCCAACCGCATCGCCCCTCTGCAGCCCCAGCTTGCGTAAGCCCGCCGCCAAGCGGTCCACCTCAGCCAACAGGCTGCGGAACGTATATCGCTTGGCCTCGTGACACGAAACCAGGGCCTCCGTGCTGCCAAACTGGGAGGCGGCCAGCTCCAGCTGTTGGCCCACATTGCGATACACCAGCGGCTCCTTGCCTATGTGATGTAGATAGCTGTTGAAAGCTGCGCTCGATGTGGACAGGCTGCAATGGAGAGATTGGACAGAACATTAGGTAAAATATTTATACCTATTAACAAAATAAATAAAACATTTATAGAAAAAATATAATTCATATATGTATGTATGTATTCGGCGCGAACAATTGTTATCTCTATTACACCCATATTCCACGCCGTTTGGTAAATTTTGCAAAATTGCGAAACAACATTGATAAGATTGGAAATATTTTAGGAACAAAATTATTGCTTAGAGAACCAAAAAGTTTTTTCGAATCGAAATAAATTGAAGAAAAAAAGGGGATTCATTGTGCATATGAAGCACAGCCAATAGGTATAATAAAAAGTAAGTTAAGTTAAGTTATAATGCGGTACATATACGTGTAGAATTGATATATGCCAACCTAATATGCGTGTAGGTTCGTGTCTCTGCTGCGGGTGGTGTGTACTCACTCAAAAGCTGTTCAGCTTGCAAGCCGCTTCAAAAGCTTTCGCCAAAAACGTTTATAGCAAGTTTTTATGGCGCTCTGTTTACAATAACAGCCTTGAAATGGCTGCGTTTTGTTGTTGTTGTTCTAGTTGCTGTTATGTTTTTGTTTGGATTAGCTTGCAGAGCGTGGCATATACATACATACATACTTATTTATGTACATGCATATGTATGTGTTTATATATTTGTAATCACATACACGTGGTACTGGCTTATCTCGACAATTAAAAAGCTATTAAATGTGACATATGTATGCGAAACTAAGTATGTGAAACTATTTAATATAAAAAATGAAATAAATACATATACATATATATTTCCCTTTTGCCAAGTGGCTGAACACCGGCTAAAAATACGCAACTGTTAATGGAAAAGTTTCTGTGCAACAGGTGCTTGAAAAGATTCTGCGCAGTTAGATAAAAATTTGATAGGCAAATTTTAAATGCGTTTACACAAAATTAATTATAACAGTTAGCATTTGGCTGGGTCAATAAACAGGAGTTGTGGGATATACGAATGTTACGCAATTTCTGGTAAGGCGTAGATGTCGACGTGGGGGCAAACTTAGAGGATTCAAGAAACAACCCTTGGAAAATCTTTGAGCTAAGCAAATGTTTGCAGCTGTTGGCATATGCGCACTTGGGTTAATCCTTTGCTAGAGCTGATGTCCTGATAACCTGACCTTTTCATATGTATTCGGGTTTGTGTCCTTTCTAAGCATTTACCTGCGCAGCGCCTGCTGGCCCAAGCTCTGAACGAGCACATGCCTGGACACGATTTGCAGCTTCTTGTTGAACATGTTTCAGACTCTTTTTTTTGTTTTGTTTCAAATACACTTAAAGCACAATTTGTTATTTTTTCATAACTTCTCAAGTGTCAATATGTATTCACGATTTGCGCAGCGTTTGATTCACTTAATAAAACTTCGCAAAAATGCTGCGGACAGACACGTCCACTATTCGCCGCGTACAGACGCGTACTGAGAAGGCGCTAATCGGCGACGTCGATTTGCTAAACTTAAAGAGGAATAGAGATAGGAAGAGAGAGAGAGAGAGAGAGCAGAGTGTGGGCGAGAGCGCGGTGAATCGAAGGGAAGGAATCAACAATATTTAGTTCTAATACCCAGCACAAAAAATAAATGTGTGAAGGAGCGTATATATAAACGGAGCAAATAGGTCACAGCTTCTGCCTCAGGCAAGACGATCGAGTCTAGAGACAAAATTAGTTCCAGAGTATTTAGTACCTTATGAAAATTTCCCCATCACTCGGGCTACATTAAAACAATGAACTTTTTAAGCTGAAGTTCAGACAGCCCATAAAAACTGTCTCGAATACTTAAATATATATATAATTATTGAGTAAAAAAGTAAAAAAAAAGAAATATAAATATATTGTACGCTTTTTGCGTGTTGTGCCTGCTCTGTGCACATATCACGATATATTTGTGTGCAGGGTGTTTGTTAGTCGCGCAATACTGTTTTACACACTCTTACTATAGTTATTTATTCAGTGTGCAGGGTGTTTGTTAGTCGTGCATACTTGTGTTGGTGCATACATTGTTAGCTGTTGCTATTTATGTTTTAATATTTGCATTAGTTTTCGTTTGCCGATCGGCGCCTTATTTTTATTGCGATTTGTTTTGTTTATTATCATCGCTTGTATTTTGTTTCCACATTCTGCACGCGGCACGTGTTGACGTCGACGTCGACGTCGACGTCGACTTTATTTGCTTTACGTTTTTGTTTTTTTTTTTATGTTTATATTTTTATTCGCTTCAATTTATAAAACCGGCATTTGTGCTCTTTTTCGACCGATTTTATTTATTTTTTTTTTGTTTGTTTTCTGCTCGTTTTTTGTGCTTTTAAATTTAAAAAGCTTTGTCCGTTGTTTAGCGGCAGTTTTTTATGAGATCCGCTGAGAATTGGCCTCGCTCTGCTATTTCCACTCTAGGTTTATCAAACAACAATTTCTATTCATCGTAATTGGCTGCTTTCAATATATTCGAATGATTCGTTTTCAGACTCGACTCTAATTTTCCGCTTTTTATTCCCACATATATACAAAATATATATGCATTGAATTAATATATGCATGCTCAGTAGAGTTTAGCATACAATGGGAAAATAGCAAAAAAAAATAATTTCAAATTTTATGATTTTTGCAGTCCCATTTTTATGATTTTTTTTTTATGTACTCTAGCTATTTTCTTTTTTTTTTAACTTTTAGGCAAACACAATTTAAACAAATACATAATTTAAATGATTTCTAGAAGCTATCTAAAATTATTTGTAGCTCCTCTGATTTGCTAATCGAAAATCCAGCTCTTTGTGCTCGTTATCATATCAACTTTCTATATTTTATTGTTGGCTTAGGTCTGCCCACATTTTGGCTGTCTGGAATTTTTTGTATATATTTTTAATAGAATTTTATTTAGTCTTATACTCTGTTCTCAAAACACTAAAAGGGGTGTATTGGGGGTGTGTCTGTTAGACCGCTATTATTATGTCTTAAGGATGTTTTCTCCTACGCACAAAAGTTTGTGGAATAACAGTCTACGCTGAAATAATTAAAACAGAGACATAAATAAGGACTACTGATTATATCCAAAAAAGATTATATAAGTAATATATTAATGTTGCGTCCACTTTTCCCGAAGTATTTTTGCACTAGACGTACAGAGTAGACTGCAGTTGGGAGCATTAAACGCGCTAGTTAAAAATTGGAGTATAATTCCTGTTTTTAAGTTTGCCAAATTGATAATCAAAGAATTTCTTATCAATTTAAGGGGCATTAGCATCATAAATGTACAAATTTTATTGGGCAAGTGTGGCGTGTGTCTGGCCTTATCAGCGTATAGAGAACTGTTTAGGCGAAAACAGGCGAAAAAAAAAAACATTCTTGGCCTTGAGCCGGAGGCAATTGAAGAAATGACCCCAGCATGGTAATCAGATGAGGCCTTTATGCGTTTATTAGTCTAACTGGGTTTTCTTCTTTGTTTCACCCAACAGCATTTGGCGCATGTTGGGGAAGGGTTCGTCCTCGCGCGGCATGTTTTCGATCTCAGTCTCGTCCAGCTCGTAGAGGACGTGGGATGTGTCGGCCACTCGGGGCTCCATCATGCGTATAAAGTCGTGCTCGTACGTTTTGCCCTTATCGAAGCAAAAGTCCTTGATTTCGGTGCACTTGCATTCGGGCGGCACGATCGCCACCTCGTATAACATTGTTGCATAGAGCTCAAGATTCTTCTGATACTCTTCAAGGCTCATGCTCTCATCCGGCTTGCCGATCCATGTGTGTATGGAGCTGAAGGGCAGACCCACCACCTGTGCGTTTTTGGTGCAATACTTGCGCAGCTCGTTCATCATGGGCATGCAGACGTGGACGGTATCCGGAATGGCTGCCTGGACGTTGTACACACGCTCGTATGCGCGGTAGGCGGACAGATTGAAGGGTGCATGCCTTGCCTCGTTTAGCGGCTTCAGCGAGTCCACGACACGCAGATGGGCGGGATGCCCGCACTTGAGCCGGCAATAGGCACAGTCCAAGTGCTGGCGAACCAAAAAGATAACATATTCGACACTCTGATCGGGCACCAGCTTCACGGAGAAATTGGCCCTTATGCGCCTGGGCTTATGGAAATCGCGCAGGCTCGAGTATAAGCGATGCTCCACGCTGTGCAGCACCAGGGCGGACATGCACCAGCGATGCTTGAGGAACAGCGGCTTGGACTGCTCGTGGGGCAGACGTTTCAGATCGTATTTATCCTTGTACTCCATGATGCCCACCTCGGCGCGGCAGAGTATGTCCCAGTCGTGGTGTGTCACGGGCAGCACATGACGCTGCAGACCCTCCGACAGGGAGCTCTTCGGATCGGATAGGGTGTTCATTAGCAAGCACAGCTCCACCAGGGGCTCATGCTTTGGCCTGGTAATCGTTGGGTCGACTTCATCTGTTGTTGAACTCCGTTCGGGCTCCTCTTTCTTATTTATCTCCAATTCAAAGTAAATGTAGCCGCTGTGGCTAGTGGTTAGCATTGGTGTATCCGGTGTGATCCACAGGTTTGTGTTGGTTATCAACAGATCAACGCCCTTAAAGAAAATCTCCCGCTCTTTGATGATTCGTCGCAGGGGCTGATTGTTGCTATCGTCGTAGGTGTTGATAATGAATCTCAGGTTCACCGGCAGATCGTCCGTTTCCTCCATCCAAGCCTGGGTTGCCTGCAACCAGCACAGGACGGGTCCCTTCGTGGTAGTCAATCCATTGCCATAGAGAGTTTCATTCTTTTGGGTTAGCTTGAAGGGATGCTTCATCCAGCCATCGTCATCTGTCACGTTCGGCACATCCACATGCCCATAGACGAGCACCACGTTCTTGGCGGGTGTGGAAAAATAATTGGCGAAGATCACATAATGCGTTGCCTTATCAAGTTCCTCCGGCTTTATCTCCTCGACCTCCACATCGAAATTGAGCTCAATTAGGCGCTGGGCCAAACGATCGATGATCTGCTTTGATGCCTTTTTGTGTTTGTAATCGTTTGATATGTTCTTGATCGCCAGCATCTCGTCCACCTCGTGTAAATATTCGTCGTTATTGAAATATAGACGATCCACCACCTGATCCAGTTCGCTCTCTTTCACCGTAATCCGCTCCTCGGGTGGAAAGTCCCTGATACAGGTATCCCGCAAACAATCACAACGATCATATTTCGATCGATCCACGAAGACGCCACAGCAATTGCGCTCACCCCAGCAAATCATTTTTACTATCTATTTTTCTATAATTCAACTTGGAAATTTCTAACAATTTCAAATTCGAAACTAAAGATAAAAGCTTAAATAAATTATTATCACATAGTTTGACGCAAGGTTGTTAGGAATTGGATATGATAGGCTCAGGATACTGAGTTCTGAAATCTGGTATTTATATCCTCTACCTAGATACACGATTGTGATCAAGTCCTAAAAATAATATTATGCTAATGCATTCGAACTGTTGCTTTTTGAGCACAATTTGGCGTTAAACAGGTTTTCAAGTGGGCAAATCAGCTGAAAGTTTAAGTTCTTTATAGCTGACCAACACTGAAAACGGCCAGTTTTAGCTAGAAAATTGCAGAGTTGACAACACTGGCGTGCTTAGCATCGCACATATTTATTGAAAGCTTTGGGTTTTCAACTCCGCTAAGCTTTTGATCTTCCCATGTTTACAGACTGTAGCTTTGCTGTGGCAAGAATAAAAATGCTACAAACCTTTTAGATTTCATTAGGTCCAGTGCGGATCGGATTACTATATCATATAATGAGCTATCGATAAACAGGTATTTGTATGAACAACTTTGTGGCTTATTCAAATATCTTGACCAATCCTGGCACTTTTTAAACTATGCTATGGTATCCCAAGATATTTTCATGAAACTCAGCATTTGTAAGCTTCACTATTGTCATATTTTTCAACGCCGTTAGGCTAAGGTCTGCAAGGGTATTTGATCTTGCTGACTTTCTTGTTGAACTATACCCTGGACGCAATACGGTTGACAGAGACAAGTAAAATAGATGAATTTAGGCATAAATTCGCAATGTCTGGTTAATATTTACCAAAATATCACAATCAAATATCGATCAACATAGTTAATAAATATTAACCAAACATTGTCAAATGCTCCTATTTAGTTCTCACTGAAATTCAGAAGCAAAAGGACAACAGACAAAGATCCTTTAAACAACAGACAAGTAACACGAATGGGAGAATCCGAAGGACTCCAGGAATCCACAGGCATTATTTTGGCGCAGCAGAGGGCCTCTTCTTGTTGGATTTCTTCATGTGAAATGGAAAACATAGGAATTTCTTGATGGAATTCCTTTTCGGCGCTCTCACAGGAGCCGGTTGATCTTTCTGCTTTAACTTAAAGAAGCTGGTCAATAGATTGCGTTTAGGAGGCACCGGCAGATCATAACCACGATCGGCATCCAGTTTCTCCTTGACGCCTCGCAGGTTGCAATACTTATTGATCAGATCGCATTTGCACTTGGTTCGGAGGAAGGAGAGCTCAAATAAGAGGGAGGCACAGGTTTTGGTGTGCCGCATGAGGTTGTCCTCCTCAATGAACTCGTTCTCCTGCTGATGACGATCCCTGCGCTTGTAGAATGGCATCAGGATTATGGGCTTTTTGATCAGCTTGCCCAGCACGTTGGCAATGGGCAGACAAACGGGTATGCCCTGTGTGGTAATCGGATCCTTTTGGTAGACCTCGCCCACGGCCCGCCTAAGGGCTTTCATTAGCTTGCTCTCCGTGGACCAACAGATCGGTTCCATGTAATCGATCAGATGGACGGAGATGCTGGTTCCAAGATTCAGTTCGTTACGTATCTGCATCATATATTCCCTGACGGCGCAGTGAATCTGCTCCACATCCTGATCGGGCACCAGGCGAATGGAAAACTTGCTCACCACCTTCATGGGCAGAATGCGAGTACAGCCGGGTCGACTGTCCGCACCCTCGACCCCATGCATGGTCAGCGACGGCTTGCACCAGCGACTCTGCAGCACCTCGACCTTATTGCCATCGTGCCGTAGCCGGCGCACGTACAGCTCCTCTTTGTACTCGTAGGCACGAAAGGTGGCCGACTCGAGCAGATGCCACTCGGGAGTCGTCAGACGCCTCACATTGTTCTCGATGCGAGGTATTTGGATTTCATGCTCGTCGTCAACTAGACTATTCATCAGATGGCACAAATCGATCATCGGCTCAAAGACTAGGCCACCGGCCAGGCCGCTCTCCAGGCTCTTATTGGCGCCGCGCACCTCGACCCCGAAGTATGCCCAGCCGGTGAGGCTGCAGGCGATAACGGGCCGATCATTGTTCACCCACGAGTTGACATCGAATACTATGTAGTCGACATCCAAAAAGAAGTCGCTCTTCGCACGCACATAGTCCTGCAGTCCGGTGCTGCCCACCTCGTGCAGCATGTCCACAATGAATTTGACATTTATCGGCAGATCCTCGTTCACTTGGAGCCAACATTCGATGGCATGGATCCAGCCCACGAGCATGCCCTTGCCGCTGGTCACGCCCCGACCATAGGCCAAGCCATCCTTGAGGACCAGCTCAAAGGGATCGCTCAGCCAGCAGTCTGGCTTGGCAGGCAGCACATCCAAATGGCCATAGATCAGCAGCGTGGGCTTGGTGGGCGAGGAAAAGTATCTGGCGAAGAGCACTTTCTGATGCGGCTCCCGAAAGCAATTGACCGGATCGTCGGGTATTACATGCTCGTAGGTTTTAAACTTTAAGTTGGCCAATCGATTCGCTACCCAGTCGAGTGCCAAGCAACTCTCCAATAGAAACTTCGGTTCCACGGACACCGACTTGAACTTCACGATCTGTGCGAGATCTTGAATCACATCGTCCACTTGGTCATCGATTGCTCTCAGCACAGCCGGCTCGTTCTTAAAGGTACGTTCCCGCTCGTCGATCATCTGTTGTGTCGGAAAGCGCATCTGACAGCGCTGGCAATAGCATTTGGTGGGTGGCTCAAAGCTCAACTCCTCGTCAGTCGCTCGCATCGAGGTGCGCGAGTGTCGCGACGTTCTTTGGCTCCTGCGCGACAACATGCTGCGAGTTGAACCTATGGGTCGCACTGAACTCCTGCGGGAGGAGTGGCTGTTCGAACGCCTCACCTTCGTGTTGAGCGACATTTTTTTCCTTTTTTTTTTTATTCTTCACTTATATCAATTTTGATTTCTTTTAATATGTATTGAGTAAATTCAAAGCAGTGTCATGTCAAAAAGTTGTTTGTGATTGAATCACAATTTGAACTTTCCCATAAATAATCCCCGGCACATATGTTCTTCGTGTTGCTTAGTCTAAGATTCGAATCGACGGCTAGTTGCCTCTATCAACTTTTGGCATTGCCTTTTGAGATGTTAATGCCAAAGGAAAGCAAAGGTATAAAAGAATCTCTGGGCTGGGCAACTTGACGAAAGATGAGAGCTCTTCGCGTTGTAGTTTTCGCGCCAAAAAGCGTGTCAGGCATTCGAAGGTGTGGAATCAACAATTGTAAACAAACGCGTGCGCCTCAGAGGACGCCACTTGATGGTGCACCCCATGCCCCTCTGGCACGTGCATTCGTCATGTTGCCAAGGTGCTCGTCGATGGGGCTTGCCAGGCAAAGTGGCGAAAATAATTTCGACTGGCAAATCAGAAACTCGCAGAAGCTCGTGGCAAACGGTTGTTGGTTCGCTTTGCACTCGCTTAAAACTCACTCAAACATTTTCCCATTTGGCCAGAAAGCAGCCAAAAGTGGCGGCGGCGGCGGTTCCGCTAAAGTGAGACGCACACGCAACCCAAAAGGGGAGTCATAAAAATAAGGCTAAACATATAAAATTGTGTAGTAAAAGTGAAGAAAGCGAAGAAAGCAAAGGAAACCCAAGCAATAATAATAGCAAGCGGATGTGTGTGGATGTTGTTGTTGTTGTTGTTGTTCAACAGGAAACATACGAAAAGTGGGCCCAAAGAAACGTTTGTTGTTTCCGTGTGTTGCCAATGAAAATGCCAATTGTTGGCAACAACAAAATATTGGTAGAATGCGGCGGGCCAGCAAAATAAATTGTGCAATGCAAATGCAAGCCACAAACAATGTTTAAATAGAGCTAAAAATATCAAATTCAAAAGCAAACCTAAACAATACGAGCTACAGCCAGAAGCTACATCAAGTTGCAACCGCAAGTTGCAACATCAAGTGGCAGCTAGCCCTACTCTTGTGGTTGTGTAATGGCCAGTGGTCGAGCGTTTTGTTAGGCCCTAAACCCAGAGCATGTCGCAGCCGCTGCGTGGCGGACGCGGTGGGCGTGCCGGCGGCGGGGCTGGCGGTGCTGGTGTTGGACGCAAGACCCCATCCTCGTTGACGGGTCCACCGGACGATTCGGCGAATACCAGTGAACGTGCCACGCCCGCCAGCAAAGCCGATTCGGATCCCAAGGATGATAGCTCCAGCAATGGCGACAAAAAGGATTCAGATCTATTCCCGGCGCCCAAGCCGCCCAGCGCGGGCGCCTCCATCCGGGATGCCGCGAACAAGGTGCTCGCCTTGGCGATGAAAAGCGAATGGACGCCCATGGAAGCGGAGCTGAAGAAACTGGAGAAATATGTGGCTAATGCGGGTGAAGATGGCAATCACATACCGCTCGCCGGAGTGCTCGATTTGGTAAGAGAGAACTACAGAGCGAGCGTGTGAGACAGAGTGAGTGAGAGAGAGAGAGAGAGGGTGTTAGTAGACGACTTTGTAAAATCAATTTTGGAGCCCATCGAAAGCGGCGCAAAATGTAAGTCGACGTCGCCCTTATCAACGTCTCCAACGGAGGCGGCATTTTAGTAGTTGTTGTTATTGTTGGTTGTTTACCAGCCAAAATAACGACACAGTAGCTGTGTGTAGCTGTGTGTGTGTGTGTGTTGTTGTTGTGTGTTATTTGATAGCGCGGCCCAAATGTTTGGCTGCCAAGGCAATGGCAGGCGACGTCCTGCCACAAGTTGCGCCGACTCCCCCGCGGAATAAACTCATAAAGCATCGAAATTGAAGCGCTTCGATTTCAATTTACCATAAAAATATCAAACACAAAAGTCGTTGACATAAAATTATCGTTGCAAGTCTTAAGCACAGGCCCCCCCACAGACGGCAACCCCCGCGGCGACTGACAATAAAATGCAGGCAGGGTAAAAAAAAAAATATATATAGAAGCCAAAAATGTAAATGCCCAATTGGAATGTAGACAAGAGTTAAGGGATCCGGGCAGCAACCAGGGCAAGGGTTGCCTCATGCAAATTATTTTGCTGTGCGAAAGGCATCATTAACATACAACTTTAGTTACAGCTAATGATACCCTGTAGATATGCAAATAAGCAAGGGATTGTATGTGCAGCACACTAACTTTGAGCTAGAATATATTATTAACATTTCGTTTTGCTTTTCATGTGAAACTTGCTTAGATCTACCAAAAACTAATCCGATTTACCATCTTAACAGGGGTTTAAACCTTAATAAAACCATAATAAAAGAAAACCATAATAAAAGAAATTGTACTTAAGCAGGGACCAAAAAAGGGAATTCTGCAATTTTACACTAAAGTCAAAATTTGTAATCTTTGTTCCTTCTTATTTCATTAACATAAACAATCAATTTTGATAACAAGTAATATAGTGTTTATTTGAGAGACAGGAGGTATAAGCCACATTCTTGTCAATCTACCTGCTTTGTATCTATTTATTTATTAATTTAGTTACAGGGTACTTTTCAGCTACACTGCCTTTTTTCTATACAGTTCCAATTTAGCTCATTTGGTGACTATTTTTGGTATATTTTTTGCTGCCAGACAAGGTTAGGAAATACTTATTGTTTTGGACTTGATTTGGTTTTAATAATGAAAATGGCGCCAAGCAAATGAGGTGAAAATTAAGGCTTATCAACGAATGTATGAGAGGAACAAGAAAAGAACTGCAATATTAACCATAACTAAATTATAATAAAAAAAATAATGATGATGACCGCCAAGAAAACCGCAACCAATTTTATGAGCATTATAAATTAGCCTAAGTGCTAAAATGTTTAGCAAGCCAGACAAAAGTTGTGGCGAAAAAACGAATGCCTGAACAGATCTCAAGAGAGTTCAGGTAAAGTTAATTATAAGTCAGAAGTCTATATAGAGAATTGCCCTTAAATGGATGTGAAACCTATCTCTTTGTTATTTAGGTCACCTCAGAAACAGTTTTCAAATATTTCTATATTTTTGTACAAGCCAACGGATAGAATCTCAATCTTAACCCTCTAAAGTAGTTCAGGAACATATTTGGCATGAATTTTAATACAAAATTAAACATAAAAAATTTAATTTTTAGATTTTTTTTTGCTTATTTGAATTCTAATCCTAAAATAAGCATCAGAAAAAAAGTCGAAGAATATTTTTTTTATAAAGTAATGATATTGCGTTTAGAAATCTGTTTAGTTTTGAAAAAGCTATAAGAGTTAGAAAAGAGTTATAAGGGCTAAGTTGAAAGTTCTGCGGGATCGCCTTTAAAACAATTTTTAAAGCGTAACATAAAATTTGAATGAATACTTGAATATATATATGTTTTTTTTGAATCTGTTAACCCTTTTTATTCCACATTTAGCTCATTTTTAAATACATTCCCAATATGCATTTGTTCACGATGAAATCTCTGATGATAATCCACTGCGGTTGTTTTTTTTAGAACACGGGCATGACTCCGCTGATGTACGCCACAAAGGACAATAGGACGGCGATAATGGATCGCATGATTGAGCTGGGCGCCGATGTCGGAGCACGGAATAACGTGAGTATCGGGTGTCGACTTGGGTTTAAGTTAGAAAAGTCGTCTTAAATTACCAAGATATGAGTATTTGGCTTAAGCCAAAGGCAACCAGCTGAGAAAGTCGACAACAAAGAAAAAAAAAAACAATAGAAGCCGCTGCTGGAATTGTGTCAAATCGATAAAAACCGCATAATTAAATCTCACGCGTGGGCGTCATACCAAGAGGGCAGCAGTTGTAAGGTAGCGTTGCAGGGGGGAGGGTGGGGGGTGCGGTCCACGCACTTGCCGCACACGCATTGCCGGGCAAATCGCCGGCGGGACTCGACGCTCGCCGCTCAACTGCCACTTAACAGCCGCTGTGGGTCAACCGAAGAGAGCTTGGCCAACCTTTTGTCCGGGCTCTAACAATTGTTAACAGCTCGGGCGACACGCAAAGGCTCACCGAATTTTGGTTCAAGGGGGCTGTATGGTCTTTGGGGTATCATATTCTGTGATTTATTTTTCACCGATTTTATGCTGCAACCCTTGAGGCACCACGAAAAATTGCAAGGTTATTTTTGGTGAGCAGTTTTTGGAGAGATAGAAGAGCAACGCGAAGTTGGAGTAAAATAATGTATTTTATATGAATATATGATAGGGATAAAGACGTCATATACTTATAGTGTTGTACAGTGTTGTATAACGCAATAAAAACTGGTAAAACTGAAAACTTGCAACACCACACGCCAAGTGTTAAAAGCGAAATTCATTAATGCAAGCAATGCAACTCCCTCAAGGCATTGAAGAACTTGACAGTGTTGTAAAAGTCGCATTATGTGTTAATATAAAGAAATATGTGGCATGGCTAGAAAGTTAAGCAATAAAAACAGGTGTTAAGATTTGCTACTTGGATAAATTAAATGAGTATAAAAGTTCGGATTGGAATCAATCATTTCTTAAGCAGTGTTGTAAAACACTCTAAAATACTCTTATTTAAACAAGAGTATTTAAGAAGGGTGGCTAGGCGTTACGTTGAAAGGGTTTAGTTGACCTTTTTTCTCAATCATGGTAAACAACAATAAGAGGAAGCACAAATTGAACTCCGCGTCAAATATAAAGTGAGCAATTTGGGCCTATTCACCGTCCAATTGGACATTGGGTATTTGGCATTATGTTTGCATGCCACAATTACTTACAACACATTTGGCCACATTTCATTTGGCCCACTGCTCTCGACTTGAGCTTGAGGCGATAAAAATCCTTGACCTAATTACAAAATAATTGTTGCCAAACCAAAAGCGAGCAAAGTCAGCGAATTAAATTACCAAAACAAACATAGAAAATTGTGATACGTTTTTTTGCCCCAACGCAGACTCACATAAAAAACCCGATTGAAGAAATTTTCCCAGCTTGTTTGGCGTGTGAAATGTTAAAGGTTAATTGGTATTTATGAATAATACGGCTTGACGGCGAGTATAAAAATGAATATTTATAATATATGCAGATTAGTTTTTCTATAAAAGAAAAAATATGCTAGACATGGATTCTAATGCTGCTCTCATTCAGGAATGCTGAGAGCCTGAAGAGGTTTGGATTTTTCATCATATGATAACATTTAATTCTTTTATCGCAACAATTGGTAGAGTATATAAATATATATATGTATTATGTTTTACGATCGCAGTTGAAATTCTATCTATTCCTAATATGTGCCTAATTTCGGGAATATATTCAAGATTCTTGCTTTTAGTGTTTAGAATACCATATATTACATATTATATATGGGTCTTACAGGCTTAAACTTTTCTCCTTGTCTCTTTTGGTGCTTTTTAATTTCGTATGCTAATAGTTTTTAACACATAGATCTCATAAATTTGGAATAAGAAATATAGCCTACTTTTTCGCGCGCATTTAGAGTATCAGAAAATTTAAAAGAAAATCCTGACCAGAGCTAGAATGGCAAAGAAAAGTGTGACTTCGGTTTGTAGTCAAAGTAGTAAAGATCGTATCTGGTATACCCCAGCCAAATCTCTAGAGCTTATGACCTGGTAAATTTGAGCTGACGTGTTACATAACAAAAGATGCGTCATGTTTATTTAAAAGAAATCTTAATGATGTTGACAGCTAGTCAGAATGATTTATAACAGAAATAAAACTTACTATAACGAGTGAAGAGTGGCACTTTTAATTAGAGCTTTTTTTTTCTTAACGCATTAAAAAAGTAGCAGAAGCAGAAGAGGAGGAAAAGCAGTTACATATCACGTGTGATGAGGTGTGTTTTGCATTATATAATTTTATGGCTTATCTAAATGTTGGACATCTTTTAAATAATTCGCAACTGGCACGACACTTGCAACACGTGCGGGGCACGGCAAATGAAATGGAATGGAATGATGTAATGAGTACAGGTAATTAACATTTTGAGGCTGTCAAATGAGAGTGTTTACTACCTGAAAGGGGGCTGTGTTGGGGTGGGGTAGTTGGCTAGGGGCACATGTCATTGTGGTTGCAGCCAAATCGAGCCGAAGCTAAAAAGAAGGAGGCGTCAACCGACTTCATTTGTTGCAACTTAAAAGCCAATTAATCAAGCGGCTGACTTTTGAAATACGCCCAGTTAGCACCTGCCCAGATACACCTGTCCGTAACCCTCGTACGTAGCAGGCAGCTTTTTGGCGCTGACCTTTTTCAAGACAAATGGCCAAAACGAAAAGTGGGAGCTCTGCCCAGCTAGAGGCCTTCCTTATGGCTCACATGGCGTCATTAATGTGTGTATTATGCAATTTTAATTAAAACAGAATTCGGGCGCCTGTGCCTTAGCATTTGGAGTAAGTTTCGTATATTTGAGCCACATGCGCGATGACAGCGTGCAATTTTTACATTAAGCTATTAACTGGGCTTAGACTTAATTTGTCAAACGTTATGCGTGAGCGCACGCACAGTGCACAGGTGTGCGTGTGCGTGCGTGTGTGTGTGTGTGTGTGGCACTCAAATTAAGTCTAAATTAATTAATTTAAATTGATGCTATGCTTGCTCTAAAGTGGGCGTGCGCTATGCTAAACGCGCTGACATCAGCTCGGGAAATAATTTAGAAATACATTTTATAATTTCATTTTTCTAAGTGTCTTCTAGCTAGAGTGTGTGTGTGCGGGTGTGTGTGTGTGAGAATGACTTCATGTTGAGCTTAAGAAACTGTAGCATACTTTGTTGCGCTCCGCAAGGTTTACACACAACAAACAACAAAAACTGGGTCGTCTTACAGTCAACCACCCGCCCTCAACCGAAGACTGCGCCAAAGAGGGCCGCAAAAATGTGCTGGAAAATTTGCGCTTCCGTTTTTGTTGTGTTTCCGGTTTTTGCTTTCGTTCCGCAACAACCCAGCAACAATACACAAACGCACACACACACACACACACACTCTCTAGACTTATTTGGAGTTAAAAACTATGCAAAACAGGCGCGTGAAATATTATCTGTCTGGCGTTTAGTTTACGTGTACTTTTGCAGGCCAGTGTAAATTTGCCTGACTTTACGTTACGAACCGCAAAACTGGTAAAACTGGGCAGAACCAATGTCTTTCATCGGGACATGTGTCAAAGACTTCTGCTTCTTATTTTTCATGTGGTTTTTCGCCCATTGGCAACCTGCGTTCTATGCAAATGAGCAAAAGCTGTAGCCAGAAATAGACGCCAAAGCTAAGGAGAAGGCAAAGCCACTTGACATGAATTATGTATACTCTTTGAGATACGTATAAAACCAGAAAGTTGGGCAAAATATGTAATATATGCATATATCTTTTCTTGTCTCGCTTGATATATTTGAGAGAGTTTGGAAGGATTATTTTTTGTATCTTATCTCATCTTTTGTATAATATAGACACCTTCGGAATAAAATCTTTCCATGCGCTCCAAGAAATTTGAATATACTCTTTCATATTAGAACAATATTTCTAAAGGCAAAAATAATGTTCCTCATATACGCTATAAATGCTGGCTCCCTATAAATCCTAGCAGCCCCATGACAGAGCATTAAGTGGCTAATGCATGTAACAAGGCGCCTATAAAAAGCTCGACTCACTTCCGCTTAGCGGGCGCAGCAAAAAAAAAGCCAAAAAAATATAAATAAAAAGAATAAGTAGAAGAAATGTCCACGGGTCAAGTTATAAATTAAGTAAATCCACGGTTGGCCCATGCGGCGTATGTGTAACATATTGGGTTATGGCTTATTATATAAGGCGATAAATGGAAATATGCCAAGTGCCTTCCTTTTTCCCCCGTCCCTCGTTGGGCTCATGTGAGTCACGGGAAACGTGTCGCCAAGTGCTAAGGCAATCACACTTTGGACTCCGTCGTTATCTTTAAATAATTTGCATTGCTGGGTCGTGAGCTAAGCGAGAATTTGGGTTTTGATGCAGTTGTTGCATGTGTGCCACAAACCCAACGACCATTAAGAAATGGCCGAAAGCGAAAGTCCACATGCAAAGATTGCCAGCCAACAACAACAAAAGCCGTGAAAGCTAAGTAATCAGCCGCACCTCTTGGCCTGGCCATGCAAAGTGCTGGCAGAGCATGGGTATGGGCAAGTGCATGGGCAGGGGGTGGGCTCAGGGGCAGTAATAGGGTATTGAGATGGGAGCGCGGCGCGAAGAACTGACTTTGACCCATTGAACAGCTGCTGACCTGTGCCAGTTTAGCCTCGTCGAATGATTTCAGCAATTGATTTAGAGTTTCACCCACCATGAATTTCTCTTTCACATTCTCACTCTCTCCGCTTTTCAATTTGTCTTGCAGGATAATTACAACGCGCTGCATATTGCGGCAATGTATTCGCGTGAGGATGTCGTCAAATTGTTGCTGACGAAACGCGGCGTTGATCCCTTCTCCACCGGAGGTGTAAGTATATATCTATATCTATATCTATATCTATATCTATATCTATATCTATATCTATATCTATATCTATATCTATATCTATATCTATATCTATATCTATATCTATATCTATATCTATATCTATATCTATATCTATATCTATATCTATATCTATATCTATATCTATATCTATATCTATATCTATATCTATATCTATATCTATATCTATATCTATATCTATATCTATATCTATATCTATATCTATATCTATATCTATATCTATATCTATATCTATATCTATATCTATATCTATATCTATATCTATATCTATATCTATATCTATATCTATATCTATATCTATATCTATATCTATATCTATATCTATATCTATATCTCTCAATTTGTATATATATTTGTTATATATCTTAGCATATATTCTAAACGTGTTTTGACATTAATTCCCAAACTAAATCCCTCGGCTTTATATCGAATCCATTTATATGCTCAATTAGGCAGCACTACTTAAAGTTCCATTCGAGTGCTTCAAAAATCGATGCATACTTTTTGGCTGCAGTCACCTTTATTTAATGACGAATTGTTGTTCAAGCACTCTTGAGTCCATTAAACGCATTTTCAGTGTGCAAAGGTCAGCCAAAAAGATGTTGCCGCATGTTGCATGTGACTTTGGCACGTTAGAGGCTAAGGGGCCAATTAGTGGCGACAAGGTTAAGACTTGGGCTAATGCCGGGCTACAGGGACCCTAATTTAAAAACCAGTCCGCCAGCCAAAAGCCAGGGCTAAGGTAAACAAACTGCGGTTACCAAGCACCATTTAATTTCTATGCCAAGTTGAACAAAGATTGAGGGGAGTATGTTACATAGTCTAAGAGTATGTGTAACATAAGAAAGAGAAAACAAATTGGTAAGCTACAATATGCACGATTTAGGTAAGAATGGTATATGGTTAATATCTAAAAAATTTCCAATATATTGTTTAAAGGAACAACATTATCATATGAGACTAGGACTACACATAGATTAGGAATCAATTCTATCAGTTAAGCACTTCTGGTGCTCTATTATAATATTAAATAGTTATATATAATATATTTCTGGGAAAAAAGAAACATGTCGTTTATTTAGCTGTACCCCCTTATTTTAGATACAACTAAAACCAGATACTTTACACGACTTTTGGGTGAGATTTGAGAATTTTCACATATATTTTTGCTTTTGACAGTCATCGTTCATGTTTATGCAGGATATTTGCCAGTCGATCATTTCTAAATTGACTTTTTTCAACATTTTAATTTCGTTTTTTGCCGCAATGTCTGAATGTTGGGGCGTGTCAAGCGCCTCATAGCCCAAATTACTGATGTTTATCAGGAGAGAGCACTTAGAAAGAGAAGGCAATCGTCGAAGTGAGGCAGACAGCTAGAGCTTAGGCACATTAAACACACACACTCTTACAATCTCACACACACATGCAAAGCAGATGTTAACTTTTGTTTTAGCAACAGCCAACAGTTTGAAGTGGGTGTGCGTGGCAAATACTAACACCAACACCTCGCAGCCCCTCTCTGTATTGTATTGTGGGAGCTGTCAGTGCCAGAAGAGAGCAGGAAGTTTATAAAGCGCTGTTGCTGTCAATCTGTGATATGAGACGGCAAAAAAAAAACAAAAACCAAAAAAAAAACAGCCAAGTGACACGAAATGTGCTTATAAGCCAAAATACTGAGCGCTGCTTCGTTCAGTTGCATTTGGGATTTTGAAGTGAATAGTTTTTTTTATAGATTTTCCTGGAGTGTTAACATTAAAAATTGTTGCCTACTTTTCGGCGGCAAATAAAAAATCACATAAAAAGTATTATCTAAGTGCGTGCCATTCACAGCCAGTGTGTGCACACTTAAGTATTCTAATGTTTATTATGCCCATAACAATATTTATATATATTCCATTTTCATTTATTTCTCTTTACAGTCGCGCTCACAAACTGCGGTGCATTTGGTGTCCAGTCGTCAAACGGGCACCGCCACAAATATCCTCAGAGCTCTACTCGCAGCCGCTGGCAAGGATATACGCGTGAAGGCAGACGGCGTAAGTGTGTGTGTGAGACTGTGTGTGCATGTGTGTGTGTGTGCAGGAGCCACAAGTGCTAGTAAATAGCCAAGTTATGAGCTGCTGGCAGTCAACATTATGTGAAGCACACTCAAAACCAGGTGCCAGTCGGTGCCAACGTAAACAAAAGTTAAACGCAAAAAAAAAGAAGAAAATAAAACAACAAATCGAAAACAACAATAACAACAATCATATAAAGCAAACGATTTGTGAAAAATCAATATGTAAAAAGCACAAAGCAAATGCATTTCCGGAACATTAAAAAAATATGAAACAAGGAAAACTCTCGAAAAAAAAACCGCAAAAATAATGTCAGCGCTTTTATATACCCTGTACCTATTAAAAATAATTAAACTGGGGAATTTTGAGCTGTGCAAATGAATGTAACAGAAGGAAGATAACACATTTTGGACTCTATAAAGCTAAAGCAGACGAGACAGACGAGTATCTGTATCTATATGTATATATATGTATCTGTATCTCAAACTTGAAATATGGGTTCTTTCGTAGCACAGCCTATTTGACGTTATCGATAACTTTCCATATTTTGCAGTAAACGATATATATCGATATCTGGTCTAAGTTTATTTAGTTATTTATTTTCTTTGAGGTCTCGAAGACATTTAGAGAAGTTTGGCATATGGATTAACATGACAAGAACTTACATATTTTTATTTAAACTTCCAAGTCCTTTCGTGTAGTCCCTGAGGCCTGTAATTCGTTTAGGCAACACAAAACACAAATGTTGTTTAGGAATTAATCAAGCTGTACGACTAAAAGAACTAGAAGAAACTCTCAGCTTGGGCATGTGTGGAGCAGAGAGTCTTAGCTGAACATAGGGTATCTCAACCCCGGCATTCACGACTAGAGCTTACTTGTTTGCCGATTAACTTGCATTGAAAAGACTTAAGAGCCCGAAACTCTGTAGAGAATCGGCATAAATGCGGAACTATTTGTCGCATAACGTGCAGAAGTGCAAATTTACTCTGATATTTGGAGAACACACGCGACGAGTAGTGCATAAATTTACGGGGGCCTCCCATTGTTTGCCGGAGTCGGGTCGATTGATAGTCTAGACAAAAGACTTGTGCGAGTCGGCAACTTGATTTAAATCAATTAGAGCCAGACCCAAAAACTATCTACACCCACACCAGTTAATGGCGCTGTCAGACAAAATTAGCTGGATAAAGTATTTGGGCGCTATCTTCTTCTTCCGCTCCCGCTTCCACTTCCATGCACATTTCCCATTACCCATTTTGATTTCGATTTGGGCCTCCACAAATAGCTCGACTAACAATGACATCGGCACGCACATTGGCAGGGCTCTGCTTCCTATATGGAAGAGACTCTGTACTCTTCTTCCATGAGGGCGCTCAACCCGTTGCCAACAACAAACACATAATGCAAGAGTTGGGTGTGGGGACAGCCCATCCACAAAAAAAGGGGGTCACAAGTTGCTCTACAACTTGATTTACGTTGTCAGCTGAGCGCGCATAGGCTGGGATTAAGGGGGTTGAGAGGCGACTCTCTCATGCGCCTTTGCCAGTTCAAAGTTCGCGCGAAAAGTTGCGAACTTGGCTAAAAATAGGCAAAAACATGCAGCCATTAACACTTGAGGCATGAATTGGCTAATTGGAATTTACGCGCGTGTGTGTGTGTGTGTGAGGGTGTGTGTATTGCACCCCTAATTATGTTACCAACTAACTAAACCTATGTATCTATATATATTTGTAGCGTGGCAAAATCCCATTGCTGCTGGCCGTGGAGTCGGGCAACCAGTCCATGTGCAGAGAACTTTTGGCTGCACAAACGGCGGAACAACTGAAGGTAAGCAAAAAACAAGCTGCGAAAATACGATGCCATAGGAAATACAATAGATAAATAAATTTCTAGAATAAAATATAAATAATATGGAATTACAAGGGAATTTGTGTGAGCTATAAAGAAAAACTATCTGTTACTTGTAAAGAAATACTTGAAATGCTTTCGAAAACCACTTTCAAGTAGGAACATTACAAAATTATTCTAGAGCTAACAACTCACCACCATAATATTTTTGTCGGTAGAACACAGTCACGTAAGGTAAGATATTTTTACTAAGCGAAGGTTACGCATTATCACTAGCCAATCTCCCCCTTAAGCCAAAACGCACGAAACTGGCATAAATCAAAAGCTAGCATTTGCGTCTTAAGATGCGTCTAAAGATATCAGTTTTCAGCTAATAAAATTACCTGACCAGATGTTATCGTTCTCGTTCCCAAGGGTCACAAATCAAAATTATTATCAAAATGCAAATTGCATTTACACTGTCAAAACTTGACAAATAAATCAGGGAAATGCAAATTCCATAACTAGATGGCAACGCTACGCACATGTGTGCCTGTGAAAATCGGCAACAGTGCACGCAATCTAGAGAGGGGAAGAGAAAGAAAATGCGCAAGAGAGCGTAAAAAGTGCAACAGTGCAAAATGTGATGTGACATTGGGGCAAAGTTTTTAGTGTTGTTTTCAATTTGCACGGCAGACACACACATACACACGCACACACACATACACACGCACACACACACATGCACACAGCTGTTGAGTCAAGAGCAGTGCGTGTTGATGAAATTAACCGAAAAGGGGTTAAAGTTAAAGTTCGAGTTAGTTGACTTTGGGCCAAGCAGCCTGGCACGCAATCAGCCGGCTAGCAAAGTGGGTCAAAAGTGTTGCGAAAACGCAGCTAAAATAGTTAAAGGAGGATAGGGTTGAGCAGGAGCGGGAGCAGAAGCAGGCGTTTAGTCTAAGGAGTTAGCTAAGTTAGCCTTGTTACGGGGCTAACTCGATTTGCATATTCAAAAATAAACCGAGAAGCGATGGCAATCGCCGTTTGCCTCCGATTTGAGCGCTGCAATTTCTTAAGCTTGATATTTTATTTTCGTGATTCGTGATTCGTGACCAGGCAACGACGGCCAATGGAGACACGGCCTTGCATTTGGCCGCCAGACGGCGAGACGTCGATATGGTCCGCATTCTGGTTGATTACGGCACCAATGTGGACACACAGAACGGCGAGGGCCAGACGCCGCTGCACATCGCCGCCGCCGAGGGTGACGAGGCGCTACTCAAGTACTTCTACGGGGTGCGTGCATCCGCCTCCATAGCGGACAATCAAGGTGAGTCAACAGCAGCAGAATAAAACCCATGTTGGGACTTTCATTTTCCCCTCCTGCCTCTTACAGATCGCACACCCATGCACTTGGCCGCCGAGAATGGACACGCTCATGTCATCGAGATCCTGGCGGACAAATTCAAGGCGAGCATCTTCGAGCGCACCAAGGATGGCAGCACACTGATGCACATTGCATCACTTAATGGCCATGCTGAGTGCGCCACGATGCTCTTCAAGAAGGGTGTCTATCTGCACATGCCCAACAAGGATGGCGCCCGCAGCATACACACTGCCGCCGCCTACGGTCACACTGGCATCATCAATACCCTGCTGCAGAAGGGCGAAAAAGTGGACGTGACCACCAATGTGAGTAGACATTGCTTTGATCCTATAAATTGGAAGCGACTACCTTCTCAGCGCCAACTTATTATAAACTTTATCATTTTGTGATAGAATGTTTAAGGGCCTCCTTGGGCATGTAAAGTATTCTTAAATGTTACTTTATAATTTCCGGAAAATCAAATTGTTTACCTAATACAGTTTCATGCTATCATTTTTTAACTATTGGAATAGGAGTTATTTCCTTTTAACTTAAAGTGCTTTTAAGAAACAAATTTCTTGTGTTTAACATGAATTCTTTCAACCAAAGACTTACCTGATGTTAATCCAATTCCTAGTCTTTTCTCATTTTTATCGAAAGGTCGTCCAGCGTTCTATAAAAAGATAAAAAAAATATAAAACTGATTAGGACCAAGCTCAGCCTATAAAAATGAAGTATTACAATAATTATATTATATATTCCCCAATATTGTTAATCCCTCTCCCAGGATAACTATACGGCACTGCATATAGCTGTGGAGTCAGCGAAGCCCGCTGTTGTGGAAACGCTGCTCGGCTTCGGCGCCGATGTGCATGTGAGAGGGGGTAAGCTGCGGGAGACGCCGCTGCACATTGCGGCACGGGTCAAAGATGGAGATCGCTGTGCCCTGATGCTGTTGAAGTCCGGAGCGAGTCCGAATCTGACGACCGATGACTGCCTGACGCCGGTGCATGTGGCCGCGAGTCACGGAAATCTGGCGACGCTGATGCAACTGCTGGAGGATGGCGGCGATCCGCTGTACAAGTCCAATGTGAGTACGAGAACGAGAATCGAAGAGGACTTGCCCAAATGATCAACCACTCTCTCTCTCCCTCCTTTTCTGTAGACCGGGGAGACACCTTTGCACATGGCTTGTAGGTCGTGTCATCCGGAGATTGTGCGTCATCTGATTGAGACGGTGAAGGAGAAACACGGTCCGGATAAGGCCACCACGTACATCAATTCTGTGAACGATGATGGCGCCACGGCGCTGCATTATACTTGCCAAATTACCAAGGAGGAGGTGAAAATACCCGAGTCCGATAAGCAAATCGTGCGCATGCTACTCGAGAACGGAGCCGATGTGACGCTCCAGACGAAGAACGCACTGGAGACGGCCTTCCACTATTGCGCCGTCGCGGGCAACAATGATGTGCTGATGGAGATGATCTCGCACATGAATCCCACGGACATACAGAAGGCCATGAATCGACAGTCGTCGGTGGGCTGGACACCGCTGCTGATCGCCTGCCATCGGGGGCACATGGAGCTGGTCAACAATCTTTTAGCGAATCATGCGAGGGTCGATGTCTTCGATACGGAGGGGCGCTCGGCGCTGCATCTGGCCGCGGAACGGGGCTTTCTGCACGTGTGCGATGCGCTGCTAACGAACAAGGCCTTCATCAATTCCAAGTCCCGGGTGGGACGCACCGCACTGCATTTGGCGGCGATGAATGGATTTACGCATCTGGTGAAGTTCCTCATCAAGGATCACAATGCGGTGATTGATATATTGACGCTGCGCAAGCAGACGCCGCTGCATCTGGCGGCAGCCAGTGGGCAAATGGAGGTGTGCCAGCTGCTGCTGGAGCTGGGCGCCAACATCGATGCGACAGACGATCTGGGCCAGAAGCCCATCCATGTCGCCGCACAGAATAACTACTCTGAAGTGGCCAAATTGTTCTTGCAGCAGCATCCATCGCTGGTGAATGCCACCAGTAAGGATGGCAACACTTGTGCCCATATTGCTGCCATGCAGGGATCCGTCAAGGTGATCGAGGAGCTCATGAAGTTCGATCGATCCGGCGTGATATCAGCTAGAAATAAGTTGACCGATGCCACGCCCCTACAGCTAGCCGCCGAGGGCGGACATGCGGATGTGGTTAAAGCTCTGGTGCGTGCCGGCGCCTCCTGCACCGAGGAGAACAAAGCCGGCTTCACGGCTGTGCATTTGGCCGCCCAGAATGGGCATGGCCAGGTGCTGGATGTGCTCAAGAGCACCAATTCGCTTCGCATCAATAGCAAAAAGCTTGGCCTAACGCCCCTGCACGTCGCCGCCTATTACGGCCAGGCGGACACTGTACGCGAACTCCTGACCAGCGTGCCGGCCACGGTCAAGTCGGAGACGCCCACGGGCCAAAGTTTGTTTGGAGAGCTGGGCACCGAGTCGGGCATGACACCACTGCATCTGGCCTCATTTTCGGGCAATGAGAATGTGGTGCGATTGCTGCTGAACTCGGCGGGTGTGCAAGTGGATGCAGCTACCGTGGAGAACGTAAGCCATGATCTTTATTCCTTGCTAATATTAATTTCATTTTTAGAAAGGCAAGGATTAGCTGTGTCCCCATCAATCACTCAGTGCTCAATCCGGTTGCTAATCGAACTTTGTTTTATAGGGTTACAATCCACTCCATTTGGCTTGCTTCGGTGGACACATGTCAGTGGTTGGTTTGCTTCTGAGTCGGTCGGCGGAACTCCTGCAATCCACGGATCGTAATGGTCGCACTGGTCTGCATATCGCTGCCATGCATGGCCATTTCCAGATGGTGGAGATACTGCTCGGCCAGGGCGCTGAGATAAATGCAACCGATCGAAATGGTTGGACGCCACTGCATTGTGCTGCCAAAGCCGGTCACTTGGATGTGGTAAAGCTGCTGTGCGAGGCGGGCGCCTCCCCCAAGTCGGAGACTAACTATGGCTGTGCGGCTATTTGGTTTGCCGCATCCGAGGGTCATAACGAGGTGTTGCGCTATCTGATGAACAAAGAACACGACACGTACGGCCTGATGGAGGACAAACGCTTTGTCTACAACCTGATGGTCGTGTCCAAGAATCACAATAATAAGCCAATACAAGAGTTTGTGCTGGTCTCCCCAGCACCCGTGGATACAGCAGCCAAATTATCCAACATCTATATAACACTCTCGACCAAGGTGCGCAAGGAGACATGGTTCCTCAGCTAGAATTCAGCCTAATATCTCTCTCTCTCTCTCTCTCTCTCTTATTGTAGGAGAAGGAGCGCGCCAAGGACCTGGTGGCCGCTGGCAAACAATGTGAGGCTATGGCCACGGAACTCCTGGCTCTGGCCGCCGGCTCCGATTCCGCTGGCAAGATACTGCAGGCCACAGACAAGCGGAACATGGAATTTCTCGATGTGCTAATCGAGAACGAGCAGAAGGAAGTCATTGCTCATACGGTGGTCCAGCGATACTTGCAAGTGTGTTCATGATCCAATGGGAATCTTTAAGCCAGATTAATCCTAGAATTAACATGTTTCGACACCTCTGCTTTAGGAACTGTGGCACGGCTCATTGACATGGGCATCGTGGAAGATAATGTTGCTGCTGGTTGCATTTATCGTTTGCCCGCCTGTATGGATTGGCTTCACATTTCCGATGGGGCACAAGTTTAACAAGGTGCCGATCATCAAGTTTATGTCCTACCTCACCTCGCACATATACCTCATGACACACCTGAGCATTGTGGGCATAACGCCCATCTATCCGGTACTGCGTCTGAGTCTGGTCCCCTACTGGTACGAAATAGGCCTGCTCATTTGGTTGAGCGGTTTACTTTTGTTCGAGTTGACGAATCCTTCGGACAAATCGGGATTGGGATCCATAAAGGTGCTCGTCCTGCTGCTGGGCATGGCCGGAGTGGGCGTTCATGTGGTCGCCTTTCTCTTCGTTTCCAAGGAGTATTGGCCCACATTGGTCTATTGCCGTAATCAGTGCTTCGCCCTGGCCTTTCTGCTGGCCTGTGTACAGATCCTCGACTTTCTGTCGTTCCATCATCTGTTCGGACCCTGGGCCATCATCATTGGCGATCTGCTTAAGGATCTGGCGAGATTTCTCGCCGTGCTCGCCATCTTTGTGTTTGGCTTCTCCATGCATATTGTGGCGTTGAATCAATCATTTGCCAACTTTACGCCCGAGGATCTGCGCAGTTTCGAGAAGAAGAATCGCAATCGCGGCTACTTCAGTGACGGTAAGTCCAGACGTTTGCTTTTTGCTTTTCTCTCTAATTATTTTTAAAACTTCTTTGGTTGGAATATTTCGTTTGTGTTTCATGGAATGTTTACGCAACATCCTTTGAGTTTTTGTTTATTCTCTTTGATTTGATTATTAAAGTTCAATGTGTCTTGATAAGTATCTGTATCTGCCTTGAATGAAACTGTGTGCTCAATGTTCACCTTTGAAATACAACTACAACCACAAAATACAACAACAATTGCATGCTGTACAACAAACCCAAACTGAACCAATCCTCTTTGATGTCGTCATGTGTTAAACACCCAACGCCCCTTGCTATATTAAAACCCCTGCCTAACTCCCCCTACTAATTATGCTCTCTCTCCCTCTCTCTATCTCTATCTGTATACCATGCCGTATTATCCCATGCTTCAGATGATATGCCCACCCCACGACCTCCGCCCGTGGAGAGTTATGTCGATAGTCGCTTCAGCGAATTCCGTCGCAAACACAAAGATGATCGTAAGTTCTGTTAACTGCTTTCGTTCAGACTCAATTGCATGGGCCTCTCATATTTATATATGGGCTCTCTCTGTCTCATATAATTCTTAACTATATATATACTCGTTCATAAATTATCTGCAGGTCGGCGGTCCTAGCATATTTTTGGGCCGGCCGGCCGCTGTTCCTCTTGCCTTCAATGTTGTGTGTAAAAGTTTTTATTGTCATATCTTATTTTCCAGTTGTAATGGAAAAAGCAAATGCTACAAATCCCACACAAATAATATACTCTCCTACTCGTTCAGCTATCCAATGTTAGCCTTGTTCTTGTTCTTGTTCTTTAAGTTCCTTTCGTTTCGTTGAGGCATGTTTTGTTGGTCACGGTCAACGGATTCCGTTCTAAATAAATACTATATAATACTTTGTGCATTCTCGATGTTGTGGATCAATCAATGTTTATAGGTATCATCTGCTACATTATTAATATATATTATTGTATATTTTTTAATTGTAAATGTTTTGTTTTTGCTGTTTTTTATGCTTTATATTTTAAAGAGCATGCATTTTTTTGGTTTAAAGTATATATGTAGAATACTTTGGTACTAGAAACTTTTCCGAACTTTTGATTTATGTACACATTACTTTTCAAAGATTCTGAAATTGTTAGTCTTACAAATACAGCACGTTTAGTTTGACGAGTAAACGAAAAAAATGTGTCTCAGACTGAAGTAGTGATATTTTTTTTGACCAGAAAAAGCGTAATATTGTTTTAAGATTAACGACAGAAATTGAAGAATCCAACTAACTTATTACAGCTGTAAAAATTGTAGCAAAAGTCGATCAAACAGTTCTGTATTTTCTTAACTTTTTTTATTCAAAAGAAAAACTTGATTTCAAATTATGGATACAAATTTACGTTTGTTTCATTTTTGAACTTGATTTAAAGCTTAATCATCCTTTATTATATTTTATTTTTTTTAATGCATTTCACACATTTGCGCAACGTGTACAAAAATAAATCAAATTAAAATAAATAATAATAATTCAATATTGCATGTTGATGTTTTGCAAAGTCGCCAGCAAAAAAAAAAGAAACACAAAATATATATATTTATATAAATATTGAACTTCATACAAGATATTTTCTGGGCTTAAAGCTTCTGCCGCTGCTTGGCAAACACAAAAATATGACATAAAAAAACCAAAAAAACAATTGAAAATTCTGCACAAAACGGCGAAACGAATCATATGAAGAAAACCCACACGAAATATCGATAATTATCGATGCTGTCGTATGTGTGTTGGCCGATAACCAAAAAATATAATTGAACAAAATATCGAATGCCTGACGTGTTGTTGTTATTGCTGTTGTTGCTGCTTTAAGCCACCAATATTCGTACGAATTCTTGCACACACGCCTGTGCCAATATCAATATCAATCAATCAATCTAACAATATGCAGCATAAGCAAGCCCACAAGTTGCGCCTCACACAGTTAGCTCGTGTTGTAATGTGTGTTATTTAAAAGAAAACCTATAGAGAACAAAAGAAAACAAAAACCACCCAAAATTCTTTGGACGTTGTTAGGACCCATGACACCATTTCTGGCTTTCGAGCGTCTGTTCTTCGCCGTTTTCGGACAAACGACCACCGTGGACATCAATCCCATGCGACATTTGCGTCCCGAGTGGACCGAGGTGCTGTTCAAATTTGTCTTTGGCATCTATTTGTTAGTGTCTGTGGTTGTACTCATTAACCTGCTAATTGCCATGATGTCGGATACTTATCAGCGCATACAGGTTTGTATTGACAATCTCCACTAATCGCAAACACTCTCTCTCCCCCTTTTTCTCTCTCTCTCTCTTCCCTTAAACTTAAACTTAAACTTAATCAACCAATTTTGATTTGAATTACAATTTTTTTATTGCTGTGATAACAACCCCCTTGACCGTCTATATGTGAAAATTCAACGCAATTGGCGCACGTTTCCGGTTGCTGTTGGGGGTTGATCAATGGGCCCAAATCAAATTCGGATACGAACGCTATTCGGGCTAATTGACCAACCACACACAATGTCAAATGGGCGTCCGTTATCTTTTTATTTTTCAAATCCAATCTGAACGCTGTGCTGTGTCCGTCCTATATTAAATATTGGGGGTTGATAACTGTCAACTGGTATTCGGTATTTCGGTATATATCTGTATAAATGCGGGGGGCATATCTGGTATCTGTGAAATATTAAATTGGAATCGGAATCGGAATTGGAATTTGGAATTTGGTATTTGGAATTCGGAATACGGAAACGCGACACACGACACAGTGCGCATGCATCCGATTAACTCGTTCGAGTTACTCTTCTTCGCCGTGTTTGGCCAGACGACGACGGAGCAAACGCAAGTTGATAAAATCAAAAATTTAGCCACGCCCACTCAACCGTATTGGGTTGAGTATCTGTTCAAAATTGTCTTTGGCATATACATGCTGGTGTCGGTGGTTGTACTCATTAACCTGCTGATTGCTATGATGTCAGACACCTATCAAAGAATTCAGGTAGTATTGCTAATGGCGCTTCATAAAATGAACCACGTTTATTCTTTAATACTCTTTTATGCTCCTCAAAATACCATATCAATATTATATACTTATATATTATCATAATTATCAAATAACTAAGCTATGTATTCAATGATAACTGACTAATTTTCAAGTCTCTTTCAGCAAACAACGAGAGTCCTTAGTTTATAAGCTTAAAAGGTTTAATAATAGATTTTGCGAGGAGCGGAGCGAAACGTGATAAGCTAGAAGCACAAGATGTTAAAGTAAAATCAAGAAACCAGGTGAAAGAAAGAAAGAAAGCAACTAAGGGAGAAGCAAATCAAGTAGAAAAGCATGCAGCAAGGCGACAAGAAGCATGAGAGATAAGTGAAGCGAGAAGCAAGTAGGTTGGGTGAATAAGTGGAGAATGATAGCAAGAAGTAGAAGATCCTCAGCAAGAAGCAAATCAAGATGCTAGGCAAAAGGCGAAACGAGAAGCAAGTTAAGTAGTAAAACAAGAAGCATAGCAAGACGTAGAGCAAGAATAAAGCGAGTAGCAAGGCAAGCCACAAGACAACAAGTATGCGAGTGAATAGCAAAATGAAAGGATCAAAAGAGAGGATAGAAGCAGAAACATAAGTAAAGCGAGAAGTCAGAAGCTAAGCGAGAAAAAATCAAAGATAAACGAGAACCATCATGAACAACAGAGAATTAAGTAATTGAAAAGCAACTAGGAAAACTTACGGCTCATACTCTCAACATTTTCGCCTACTTTAAGAAAGAATCAAAATATATTTCCAACTATTTTTAGCTTAAAAAAATGTATGGCATATTTCCATCAACTGCCCAGACTTGCATCTTCCAGGTTTTTTCCAAGAAATTAAAGCTATCTGTTCGATACATATCCAATGGTAAATTGTATCTGACAGATAAAACACGCGCTTATAGATTAGAAAAAGATTAATTAGTGTGTACTACTCCTACTAAATTTCGTCTGTGTAATTAGCTTTAGAATTAGTTGAAAGCCTAGCGAAAGTAGCTTGTGTGACCAGTGTTGAGCAATACACGTGTCCAGTGTTGGCAAATGCATGCTTTACAAACTAACTGCTGCATGTTTCTGTGTCTATGTCTATGTTTAAGTCTAAATACAAAAAAAATATACCAATAAATGCGTGTGGTTTTGTATAGCAATTTCTCGAGTATCTTAAAGATACAAACGTGTATATAAACAAGTATATACGGTGAAAAATTGTTGAGCAAAACCAATGTCTACATTTGTATATTTCTCTTATTGAAATTTCTCAGTTGCAGCGCTTAAGTTAAATATATATAAACAAAAATAAAAGGGAAACAACAATTGTAAATTGTGAACGCTTGAAAAATCATGAATCTCATTTGTGTAAATCGTCGTGTTCTTGTTCTATTCTATATATCATGTCCCATCATCATATCATATGATCATTTAATGCGAAAAACCTATGAAACACTAGGCACAATCCGACATCGAATGGAAATTTGGCCTATCCAAGCTTATACGCAATATGCATCGCACCACAACAGCGCCATCGCCGCTTAATTTAGTTACCACCTGGTTTATATGGATCGTCGAGAAGGTCAAGGTAAAATATCAAGTGTTCGAGCTAAGACAAAAATATAAATATTATTAAATAGAAAAAATGATATAACTACAAGAACTCTTACTAAGCTGAACAAAACACTTAATCAGACTGTGTTAATCGATCAGAACTCGCATAGTTGCTGACCTTTTCTGCCAACCATTTAAAGCAATTTGGCAACAACTGCAAAACGGGGAAGAAGCCCCATTTTAATTTGCAACCAATGTCAACAAATGTCTACAAATGCTTTAAGTGTGTTGCCTGTATCTGTATCTGCACCCTGTGCTGCACCACCCTGTGAATTGTAGTGTTTTGCACATTTGGTCACACTTTCTTTTATGCTGTATTCTTCAGTTTTTTGCTCTGTGCTGCTTTTGATGTTTAATCAATGTGTTGTGTCTCTTGTCTCTGTATGTCCTGTGTGTCATGTCCTTGACCTAACTTACGCTCACACGCCACAGGCACGCATGAAGAAAAAGAAGCGTCCAAGTCTGGTTCAGATGATGGGCATACGTCAGGCCAGTCCACGCACCAAAGCCGGCGCCAAGTGGCTATCGAAGATCAAGAAAGGTGAGCAATGTATGTATCGTTACCTTACGAGTGAGTTCCCCTGAGCCCCCACCAGAAAAATACGTCTACGCACAATGTTGGTACTGGTGCAAGAGTTTTGTAGCTACAAGCGTTCGTCTGTCAACTCACTCGCTCTTCCTCTCTCTTCCTCTCTCTCTGACTGTCTCTCTCTATCTCTACGTAACTATGACTCTCTTTTATCAACTACAGCTCTCTCTCTCTCGTCTACTCTTTCTACAATTGGCGCGCTCTAGCTCAAAATTTCTTTCTCAACTTCCAACTCTGATTCCCCCTTTTCCGCAAGATCAACTTTAACTTATTCTGTTTTATTCTCTCAGACTCGGTGGCCCTGTCCCAGGTGCATCTGTCGCCTCTGGGCTCTCAGGCCAGCTTCTCGGCTGCCAATCAGAATCGCATCGAGAATGTTGCCGATTGGGAGGCGATTGCGAAAAAATATCGCGCGCTCGTTGGCGATGAGGAGGGCGGCTCTCTCAAGGACTCGGATGCGGAGAGTGGCTCGCAGGAGGGCGGCGGCGGCGGTGGGCCACAAGGGCCGGCACAGGTGGGCAAGGGCAGGGGGAAGGCAGCTGCCAAAAAGTAGAATCAAATTTATAACGCTTGGATTATAAGTTAAGGCTTTTACACATTGGCTTACTAAATGAGTTTCGATTACAGGTCTAAGCATCATCCCACTCTGCCTACTACTACTTCTACTACTACTTCTACTACTACTACTACTACTACTACTTTCTACTCTTTCAAAACTTCTCTTCTTTACTTCCCTGCAAAAAAAAAAAAAAAATCATCTTACTCTTTAACTCTCCAACTCTCCCATCTCGACTGTCTATTTGTCTGTCTTAACTCTAAGTGACTGTAAAGCTAAGCTGCACTCCTGAACAAAACAAAAACTCTAAGCTAAGCTACACTTAAACTAAATGAATTTAGCTAGAATATTGAAATTGTTTTTGATAATTTTTAAGCCTTTTAATTTTAATTTAGTTAAAGAACAAACAATTTGTTATATAACATTCCAACCAAAGCAAACAACAAAACAAGTTTTCCATAATTTGAACTAAGTAAATTTTTTAAGTCCTTTTTGAACTCGATTGAAGTCATCCAATTTGCCTAACTTCCAAGCATTTTAATAAATTATAATTAAGCTTAAACTACATGACGAAGTACCCCTTCGTCGATGATGAAACTGATGTGTGTAGCATTATTTATATTCGTACTTGGTAGCTAGTAAGTTTTTAATATTAGCTTCACCTAACTAAATTTATATCCTTAAGCTTTTCATGTTTGTGGCGTTTTTTTTTGTTTAATTTTAATAATTTTTTTTTTAAATTTTTTCTAGTTCTTAATGTAAAATTTATATGTATTTACCAAAGAAATTACGTCTTAAACTTGTTATGTGTACGTATGTGTAAATAAATAGTCATATTTGAAAAAACAGCAACCCTTTTCTTTTTAAATAAATATTAATTGTTAATATCATTAAAAAGTTCAAAGCAGTTAAGAATAAAGTTTACTGGTGTGACTTTAGACAAATTTCTTACAGTGCAGCCACTCGCTTTGTCTCTTTCACACAGCTTGTTGAGTGCGAATGCGTCTCTAGTTGTTCTGTTCTTAACTGGTAGTTGTCATTGCTAAAAACAAGTTGCTGTAGCACCTTAGTTAAGTTTGTATCCGCCAGATGGAGCCACACACTAGCGCCATCTTTTAGTACGTGGTTACCACTTTTGGTTATGTACATATTTAGTTTGATGTATCACATCATTTTTACTTTTTAAAATATTAAATATCTTTTCAATGCACTTATTTAAATATTATTTTAAAGTTGATTCAGTTATAAATTCTTGTCTCTTTCATACAGTTTGTTGAGTGCGAATGCGTCTCGAGTTGTTCTGTTCTCAGCTGGTTGTTGTCATTGCTAAAAACAAGTTGCAGTTGCACCTTAGTTACGTGTGTAGCCGCCAGATGGAGCCACACACTAGCGCCATCTATTAATGCGTGGTTACCACTATTGATTATGTACAAATTTAGTTTAATATATCACATAATTTTTACTTTTTAAAGATTAAAAATCTTTTTAATGCCTTTATTTAATTATTACTTTCAAGTTAATTCAGTTATTTGAGTTATTTGCTTTGAGAACAATTCAATCAGACCTGTCGCAAATAAGGAAATATTTTGAGTAAACATCACGCGAGTTGTCTTGCTAGCCAATAATTAGCTCACCTGTGACTAAAAAACGATGTATCTATCTAGATATATGATAGATTAACAATCAGTAAAGCTAATTCGCAGCTTATTTGCAAACTGGTTGGCAGTACAATTTTAATAGGCATTTATTTTACTTGAGCGTTAATTTCTGTTCGTTTCCTTTTGAAATTATTGAAATAGTTAAAAATCAACAACTATGGCAATTATTTAACACACACACACACATACACAGACGCGTGTCAAGAGCTTAAATTGACCAAGGTGTTGAACTGAGCAAGTGAATTTTAATTTGGCTTTAACTGCAACTGCAACAGCAACAGCAACAACAACGGCAGCAGCAGCAGCAGCAGCAACAATTGCAGGTGTCACATTTTGGTTGCAAAGTGTTGAAAACGGCAACTGGTCACAAACAAGTTGCATAGTTGTTGTTGCTGTTGTTGTATTTTATTATAGATAATTGGCTTTTGCTGCTGTCACTTGATTGCTGAATGTTGACATTGTTGTTGCCGTTGTTGTTGTTGTTGTTGTTGTTGCTGTTGCGATATTTTCAGCCAGATAGGCAAAAAACAAGTTGTAAAACAATCTTGCAGAGCTGCTTTATGGCCACAAGCCTGTCAAATTTGCTTACAATTAGGCAGTTAATAAATTTCGTTGCTGATTTTAAATGAATTTCTCATACGGTCGAGCAGAATGATTAATGCCACTTTCCCAAGCAGCTACCGAATAGTTGAATAGTTAAAGATCGCTCAGCTCAATGATGAACTGGCCGCATGCTAACTGCAAATAAATTCAAATTCAATGAAGGCAACAGACAAAATGAAATCAAGTCTGCAGTGTAGACTGTTCATCATTCATCAAAAGCCGGGCCAGCAACCAGCGCCAGGAAGCGTGCAGCAGCAACAGCAACAACTGCAACAGCAACAGCTACAACATGTGTGTGGTGTTTGGCACAGCAGGTGACATTTTCAGACCAGGAAAAGGCATCAAAATAAATGTAAAAAAAGAAACTGAACACACACCCAGATGAAACGAACACGACATGAAACAAGTTGTAGTTAGTTGTGGCTTTAATACAAAACACTTTTTCATATCGAAATTTGTGATATGTTTTGATTAATGGCAAGCGACACAAACACTTAATTTGACGCCAGGCGCCTTCAAGAGAGAGAGATACAGAGCGAGAGAGGGAGGCAGCGAGAGCGAACGGCAGCAAAACCCAAACGCATGATCTACACAACGCCAACAGTTGCTGCTGGGAGAATTAACAGGGAGAAAGAGAGATAGAGAGCGAAAAAAATAAATAATCTCGAGCAAGATTAATTATTGTAATCACATCAACAGCAGAGGGGCACCCAACAACAGAGAGAGAGAGAGAGAGAGAGAGAGAGAGACTGTGTGGAAAAGAGAGCGAGCGAAAAATGATCAATGATCATCAGTTCATTTTATACACTACCCTATGGGTATTGCTCATGGGGGTATGGGGTTACACATTTCATTGGCTAATCAAGATGCTAATTGGAAGAAGATTAATTTGTGCGCAACTATCGAGAGCTTGAACGCTGCGACTTTTTTGCCTGAGAGTTTTTTGAAAGATTATTATCTGCTATTTCATGTTAAGAGCCAGAGAAACAGAAACCGAAACCGAAACCGAAAACAGAGACAAATCTGAAGTCTTGTTATTAATACAATCCCAACCTGATGTCGTTGGCTCTTCGTATTTCATTAAATACGCATGCGCTGTTCATTTAGCATAGGCTATACAGATCTCTACACTGAGAGAAAAAGCTGTACTTGAAGAATTAATACGAATGTGTTCCTTAAACTTTCTAGTACACACCTTCTACAATATTCTCTAAGCCAGCATATCTTTAATTAAATGCCAAATACTTATAACAAGAATTTGCACACTTAAAGTAAGGTGTTCTCAATGCCTGTTAGCAATTTCTGATAATAAATAAATTCTTTAGATTAATTAAATAATTAATATGAATGTTATTCACACTTTAATCTTGGCTGGTTTTAAGCTATATTTGCACTTGATTTAACTATAATATTTTTCAAGTGTACAGTTGTTGTTGCTGTCGCTGTGACTGTGGCTGTTGCACAGTGACACGCAGATTAATTGAAATTTTATGAGTAGCGCAGACGTAAACAATCAGCGAGACCACCTTTTGCCAGCCCCTAAGGTCATAAGAGCCTGTCTTCGGTGTTCCGTCTCCTCGTTCTGCTACAGTCTCATGTCTTCAGCCAACGGCGGGTTGATGTTGCTCTTCGAAAGCTGCGACTGTTGTTGTTGTTGTTGCTGCTGCTGTTATTGTTGCTGCTGTTGTTGTTGTTGTCGTTGCTGTTGCTGTTGCTGCTGTATGAGCATGAAAAATGGCCTACTAACTTGCACAGTGGGCACACATTTTGATGTACGCTATGAGCATTACTTTATGGCATTCTATTTGTAGTTCATTTTAGCTTGTCCTCCATGGTCACTTGACTTGTGGGTGTACTTGATGCATTTTGAGCAAAGCCTCTGTTCACTCACTTCTGCTCCATGTCACTTTATTTACACATGATATGTCACAGTTTGCTGTCAAGTGTGCATTGTTATGAGTCCCCCAGGGTCACAATTTTCATATGCATGGGACCTTAGTCTATCACTCGCATTACCTCCATTGTCACTTTATTTGTATACTTGACTCTTTTCAGTTTATGTACCCTCAATGCCAACCTTAAGCTTGTTATGTCCTCCATGATTACATTTTTTGTATATACCTAAAGGCATATCTTGTCTTGACCAAGCTGCTCTCAGTGGATGATAATGTGCAAATCTCAAGTTTTTTTAGTATCCATCTGCTTGAATCTATATAAATGCCTACAAAGCACCTGTCACCCACACATATGCTCCATGGTTACATTCATCTCATATATATTTTAATAAAATATAGACTATTTCGACTCCACTGTTGGTAACAGATCCTGCTGACGCGCTCGCCATGCTAATTGATAGACTGTGAAATTATTTAGCAATGGCTAAAAAGTGAGCTCCATGAGCAACTCCTGTGCTGGCCAGTTGGAGCCGAGAGTCATCAAGAGTCGCAAGATGGGCTCAAGACGACTTCAAGTCGGCACATCGTTTGGTCTGGCAGCCAAGCATTTTAATATTTGGCCCCCGGCCACACAAAGCGGCCAAGGGGGAGCAGGCGGGTCACGGGAGAGGGGTAACCCGAAACCGTCTAAGTGAAAAGTGTTAAAAAGTGCGACTCGTTGCGGCGACTGGGCGACTATGGCAAATTTCAAGACAAATGAGCGGCATCAAAGGAACGGCATTTTTGACATTTGCAAAATTTGAAATGTCAGCCACAACCGAGCGAAGCTCTTGACGAAGGTTCCACTCACTCACTCGCTTTTGCCAGGGTGGGCCCTGGCTCCAGTGTGGAAGTCAGAGATCTCTGGGTAGTGCCAAAAAACTGTTACGGTTAGGCGAATAAGTTGCGGGCATTTAAATTAAAACTCAGGTGAAAGGTTATTAATTTGCCAAGTGAAACTGGGTCGTT